GTGAGCACTTTCACTGCCTCCCTGTAGTGCAGAGTCTGTTCAGAAAGGCCGTGGATGGAAGGGATTCTGTGCAGAGACAGCGTTCAGCTGTCAGCTCTCCCTGGCAGGGTGTGCAGCTCCAGCTCAGCCGTGCTGGCTCCAGTCAGGATCATCAGGATGCTTCTGTATTGCTGTCCCCAAATCCCCAGGAAAACCCATTTGTTCCAAGCATAGCACCTTCAGTACATAAAAACCCAGCAGGGATGTGCAGTCACATCCCAGCCTGGATGTGCAGTCACATTCCAGCCTGGATGTGCAGTCACATCCCAGCCTGGCTGTGCAGTCACATTCCAGCCTGGTGTGCAGTCACATCCCTTCCTGGATGTGCAGTCATATCCCAGCCTGGCTGTGCCTGCTGAGCCTGCTGAGCTGAGGAGCTCAGTGCAGTGGCAGGGGCTGTGTGGAGGGCCCTGGGCTGGCAGAGTGTGCCTGGAGGGAGCTGCCTCCCTGCACAGCACTGCCCCAGGGTCCTCTCCATGGAGCAGTCCAGCCTCTGTGGCCCCAGACGGACAGTGGCACGGCCCTCCTGGATCACAGGAATTCTGGTGGGCTGTCGTTTGGATAGCCCCACCAAGCCATGTGCCAACACAAACCAACATACCTAATTAATAAACACTCAGCTTTGATTCCATCACAGCCCTGCTTTCACTGCCAGAGCCAGGCCCCACTTCTCCATGGGGTCCTTGATTTCTTCCAGCTCCAGAGCTGAGGTTCAGGGAATGCTGCAGTACAGAGCCCATCGGGGAGGACTGCACAGAGTCATTGGGGGCTGACAACATTTCAGATTCATTCTGATAGGATCCCCATAACTTGTCCCCTATAACTGGGATTTCCAAGATGGAGCTCTTACATAACTGGAGATGACTTTGTTGAGGGAAGTTTTGGTCCTCCCACTTTCCCAAGCTGTCCTTTCAGAAAGCATGCAATGTGTCCTTCAGCTGGAAGGACAGAACTGATTTTCTAGCAGGGATTCGGAAACCACAGCTTGTTTTGGACTGTCAAGAAACAGAGATATAAGCTCTGTCAAAGAATGCCCCTGCAAAGAGGTGATTTTAAGTGTGAATCCATGCTTTGCCCTTCTCCTCCTCTTCCTTCCCAGTCACAGGCAGCAGAGAGGCAGAAAGCACAAGCAGTTCTGGGGTGAAGGAGGTGTGATACTCTGGGACCCAGGCTGAGTCGTGTTACAACAGGACAAAAATCCCTGAGTGTTAATGATGAAAACCAGAGAAGCTCCAGTTACCGCTCATGGACCAGCTGTTCTAGAATGTTCCTTCCCCACCTCTCCCTGGCAAGCTATAGAATTGCTGTAGGGCACTGCAACACTCTCCAGCACATTCCTGGAGTCAGTATTCCCTGCAACACAAGCACCTATTTGCAGTAAGATCTTCTCAGGGGAAGGTGTTTGTTCACACCCCTGCACAGTTATTCCTGTGTGCTGCACAGCCAGTGTTGCCTGGTTTTCCCTTGCATGTGAATGCAAATGTATTCCAAGGAGGGGCCATGAGCTGGTACCTCCTGAGACCAGCATTTGGGATTGGAGTTGTTTTACCTGCAGTTCAGACATTTACACTTGGAGTTCATAATCTGGGCTTACTTATGGGAATTCCTGAGCCACGGTGCATCTCCCAGGTTAAGCCGTGCCACAGACCAGGTGTGTCACCCTGGGGGTGTATCCTTCCAGAGACTCCAGTGAGACAGCCCAACCATCATATAAGAAGCTCCATATCCATTCACCTGTCCCCTGAGCCATCCATTCCCTCAGGCTCTTTCTGTGCTTTTAATCTATTAAAGGAAGAAAGGCACTTCCTCAGTCTGACAGGGCTTCACCCTGTCCCTGGCTGGAGTTCCCTGGGTTACAGGAGGGTTGGAGCTCTTTGAAAACCCACAGAGATGTGAGAGGAAAAGTCATTAGCACAGTAAAAACCCTGGTGACACAAAAGATCCATTCAGAGGTGCTTCTGCAAAGTGCTGTTCTGGCTTCATTAAAAGCACAGCCCCTGGCTCTCCCTCCCACAGCCTGGAATCACTTTGGGTTATCTAAATGAGAATGATCAGTTCTGCAAGGGGGAGAAAAAAGAGGAAACCAGGAGGAATTATTCTTTATGAATTATGTGCTCAGCTTTCACACTGACCTATTGAGTCAGCACTGAGAGCTGGATTTCCTAGAACAGCCTTTCATGCTGGATTTTGGATATGCTCTTCTTTTCAGCCCAGAAATACCACTAGAATGGCCTTTCTCACACTGACTGGCATTGTGGGCTCCAGCTGCACCTTGGATGCAGCAGAAATAATGGAGTTTAGCAGCAGTTATCCAAATCATTCATCCTTCTGGTTTCCAGCATCCTTCTGTGGCTCCCTCCCAGCCTGGATTGAGCACGTCAACACCGCTCTGAGCATGAGACCTCGTGGCACCCTGATTAGGTGGGGAGGTGTTAATATCTGGTGTGGAAACAGGCATCCAAATTGAACAGCCAGCTCCGACAGCACAGTGATGAGCCAATTCCAACTGGCAAATCGTGATTCCTTTCCTTGATAACAATGATAACAAAAGTTTTCTGCCTTTTTAGCTCTTGAACTGACTCACTGTGGGATGAGAGGGGGCTGATCCGTGGTACAGGCAAATGTGGCAGGTACCCAGTGCCATGGGTGGTGGGAGGAGCAGGACTGTTGCTGTTGGAGCAGCCAGGAGTTGTATGGATTTAGCCATACAGTCACACAGCACACCCATGGCCTGTCCCAGACACCTCCTGACAGGCATTCCCTCAGGGTCACCTTCCCCTCCAGAGGTGATTCCCAGGGGAGTCACCTCAATCCTCCAAGCCCAGGCTCGGAGGAGCCCAGGCTCTGCTCTCTTACATACACCTGGGTCAGGGTCTGTGTCCCTTCTGGCCACTGCCTGTGAGGAAGTTGTGTCTGCAGGTTTATTTACATCCCAAGAACTGACAGTTAATCCTGCCACATCCCCAAGGAAATGGTGAGACTGGACAGGTGTCACTGTGTGCTCTGCAGGGCTCATTGGAGGTCAGCTGTACAACACACGGGCTCACACTGTGGTGTGGTGGCAGGGCAGGGACAGGATGTGTGACTGGGCAGGGCTGGAGCAGCCGGGGTGTGAGGGCAGAGCTGAGGAGGGGACAGGGCAGGTGACACATGGGCCAGAGTGGAGGGGCTGTGGGAGGGCTGTTGGGGAGTCCAGAGAGAGCACAAAGGGCTACTCAAGCTCTGTGGGAAGCTTCAAGCAGGATTAGGACAGAGCTAAATGAAATACACCGTGGGAGGGAGCACCATCCTCAGGTCAGGGAGGAAAGGCAGGGATAGAGCTGGGACATGCAGCCTCACCCGATTCACTGTAGTCTTCTTTACTCCTCAATTCCTCTACTTTTTGTTCCCTTCCATTAAATCCAACTAGGACATGGTGTCACCAGGCTGCAGGCTGGGCTGCACAGCAGGCAGGCTGTGTGTGCCTTCAGCCCAGGCAGGGCTCCTGTGCAGGCCTGGCCCTGGCTGCTGACAGCAGGGAGTCACTGCTTCCTTCACACACTGCTGGCTGAGTGTTTCCCCCTCCTCTGCCAGAGACTGCAGGTCTGTGTGTGAAGAGCAGGGATTCATGTTCCTCCAGGTGAGGTTCCAGGGCAGGACACATTGGCAGGGCTGGGCCGTGGCTGTTGGACCTCCATCCATCCCAGCACTGTCCAAACTGCCTTGGTGACATGGCAGCATGTGGGGAGGACGCCAGATGTGTTCAGTGTCTGTGTTTTCAGGGGGATGCACTGGAAGCCAGCACACTGTGTGGTCCTTACAAATCCAAACCACTGCCCTGTGCTAGACTGAATCGCAGCATTATTCAGTATCCTGAGTTGGAAGGGACCCACAAGGATCATCAGGTCCAGCTCCTGGCCCTGCACAGACACCCCAACAATCCCACCCTGTCCCTGAGAGTGTTGTCCAAACACTCCTTGAGCTCTGGCAGCCTTGGGGCCGTGCCCACAGCCCCGGGGAGCCTGGTCAGTGCCCAACCACTCTCTGGGGAAGGACCTTTTCCCAGTATCAGGAAAGTCGCCTCTCTCCATGAACTGTGTTAATGGCAGAAGAGGCTGAGCCACACAGGGCCAGCAATCCCTCTGCAGAGCCCACCTCAGGTAGGGAAAACCAAACCTGGATGGATACAGAGCTCAGGGTAGGAACCACCACATGCCCTGTGTGTCTGCCATCACAAAGCTGGGCATTAAAGAGCCAAGCAGCCCAAAGTCTCCACAACACTGTAGGGAAAACAGTGTCCCTTACGTGCCTTGGCTGCACATGCAGTGTGGGGATAGGGACCCTCGAGACCCCACTGCAGAGCTGTGTACAGGTTTCTGGGCTTCCTTGCTAAGAACTCCTGTCCAGCTCTGCCATGCTTCTCTGTTCCTTGCCTGCCTTTGCTGGGATACAGCAGAATACAAGAAATACAAGAAAATAGATGAATCAGATCCTCTTCTAGAAGTCTCTGCTGAGTTTGAGGGTGTTCTTTCTTGCATTTGATATGTGCAGAGACTGCAGCTGACATCCAGTACAAAGACAGCTGCCACCATGGGTCACTGTGTAACATATATTCAGCAAGAACAGAAATCAAAGAAGGGCACTGCAGTTAAAAGATGTAATGATAGAGTTTATTTCCGAGGAGTGGCTAATGTTCCAGAAATATTTGCAACCAGCTTATTTTATAAAATGAGTTATGGAGCTTTTAATGTTAAATTAGAAGGCAAAAACACAGGGCAAGAGGGGTGAATGATTATGATTTTGTATTTTGGTTTTTAATCTGTTTTTCAGCTGGTTCTGCTTGCATACTGTGCCTGACCTGAGTTGATGCAGCCTTTTCTGTCACTTTAGCAAGTTCTTGACCCTGATACTGCGTCTAATTATGTTGGGTTGGTTGTTTTTGGGGAGCTGCCATCTAATCTGCTCCCTGTCGGCCCCCGCAGATCTTCCACATGACCTACGATCTGGCCAGTGCCGTGGTGAGGATCGTGAACCTCATTGGGATGATGCTGCTGCTGTGCCACTGGGACGGCTGCCTCCAGTTCCTGGTGCCGATGCTGCAGGACTTCCCCGACGACTGCTGGGTGTCCCTGAACCGCATGGTGGTGAGTGCCAGCCCTGCCGGGCCCTCGGTCACCCTACCCAGCGCCCACGTGCCATCCACCAGCTTCCCAGTGCTCCCCAGTATCCAGCGCTGCGGCCACGGAGGCGCCTGGGAGGCAGATCCTGCAGGGAGAGGTCCCGGGGCTGCGGAGCAGGACCCGGCCCGGCAGAGCTGCTGCGGGTCCTGCTGTGGAAGGCAGGAGCCAGGCTCCCCCTCCTGGCTCCAAACAGCAAGGAGCAAGGGTGGAAACGGTTTTCTAATGGCTTCTGGGCATCCTGAGCCAAAGGAGGAGACAGAGGGGGTCCTGGAACCGTAGCTGGGTCTGATCCATCATTCACATCACTGGTCCCAAAAAACTGTGAAGCCCTCTGCTCCATATCCTCTTGAAGGGCCGGTGTGATCACCCACCCTTCCCTCCATGGAGGCACAACATCCCATTAGGGTGGGCTCAAACAGACCCTGCCAGGCCACAGTTGGGCCTCCCGTCATGGGATCAGGAGCCAGACTTCCCAATGCCATCCCAGGCTGTGCTGCTCCTCTGCTGTTTGCTGTGAGGGAGTTTGATACCATATGGTAAATGCACGGGGAGTTCATGGTACCTTTCAACCATCTTGCTGAGAATTCAGGATCTTTTATTCAAAGGGACAATGTCCAGTTGATTAAACAGCAAAAACTGACAAAGCTTAAAAAATTGCCTCTTATTGCAGCTCTTAACCTCCAGATTCCCCCAGCCAATTTCTTCTTAAAAAAAAAGGAAATAATCAGGCACTCGGGCAGAACAGAACAAATGTAAAATGTATAAGAGCTGTGCCAGCTCGCCATGCCTCCCACATGCAGAGCTGTGGGCACTTGCTGCCTGTGCCTGAGAGGAGTGAGCATCCATGAAAAAGTCGTCTGTTTGGGGTTTATTTATTCATTTCTTCCCTCTGCAATAATCGTTCACTTCCTGCTGCTGAAAGGTGCCAGACTGACAGTTCTGGAGTCTGGAACCCTCTATTTATCTCCAGCAGAAGAACAACCCATGCAGCAGCTGCCTGGTCTTCCCCCATGCTGCCTTTTTATTATTTATATGGCAGGAGTAATCAAAGATCAGGGCTGCCTTGTGCTGTTCAGGTTCAAGAGGACACTCAGCTCCTCATCCTGGGGAGCTCAGAGGTGCAGGCTGAACCCATCCCCATCCCATGAGGAGACTTGGCTGTGGTGCCCTTGCAGGACAGGTTCAGAATAGCACATGTGAACCATGTTTCCCTTATCCCAACATCCGGCTGCTGGTTGATGGCAACAGCTTCTCTTTGCTCTTCCCATCCATCCCTCGGGGAAGAGGTAGAAGCTGGGGTTGCAGCTGCCATCAGGGTAACTGTAGTCAAGGGCAAAGGTCTTGAAAAGTGGCAGAAGGCAGGACAGAGGAAGAAGAGATTTAGCCAAGCCACCTTTCTAACAGCAACACTGGGGAGAGTGGGAAAGATGCCTTCCAGAGGCAGGAAGGCTCAGCAGAATCTACCAAGCTTCTATCTGGAGCAGAGCTTCACTCATGCTGCAGTCTTGTCTTCCCAGCCTTGAGAGCCTGTGAAGCTGGGAATTAAACTGGCCTTGTGTGACTTTTCTTCTTCTTTGCAGCTAAATCACCTTCTTTTTTTTTTTCCACTTAATAGAAGTGGAAAAAGAATTATTATCTCTGAAAATGGAGCCTCAGGAGACTGGGATTGAGAACTGGAGAGATGGTTATATGCCCCACCTATAGTTCAGGTGGCTTCCACTCCAGGAATATGCCAGCCCCAGAATAGCTTGAGATGGGAATATTTAACAAAGAGAGTAATTAGTTCTTCTGGAATCAGATGTGGGGTTTTTTTCTCACAATAATGTTCTTTAATCTCCTGAGACAATTTCCAGATGTGTCTTTGGGACCAGTGATGGATGTGGATGGCATTTACATATGGTCTAAAGTGAAGTAATAGCAGAGGCCACTGAGTCAGGAGCAAGGTCTGGGCTCTTCTCAGGCTTTGATGCCAGGATGTTGATGGAAGTTTCCAGAATGGCTCTGTTTGAGTGCTGTGATGGACAGGGTTGGGAGGGGAGAAGCCTGGAAGGCATCAGTCTGTGACAGTAGGTTGGATTCTGGGACATTCTGTACTGACCTGGTCATAGCTTTGAGGAGATAAATACACTTGGTGCACGACTGCCCTGATTACACACAGGAGCCACGAAGCTGGGATGGAACCACTGTAGAAAAAGAGGAATCTTCTGAAGCTGCTACAGGCAAGGGGAGCTGGAAGTGAAGTGCCAAAAGCTTTAGAGGCTTTCTCCTTGAGTGTGCTGGTGCTGCTTTTCCACTACTCTGGGGTTTCCCACCTAGTCATTGGCAGTTCAGAAAACCAGCTCTGATCTCAATGCAGCAGAGAAAGATTCATCACCTCCCATCTGCTTCCTAAAGATTTGATCCCCGTCCAGGGGATTTGTGAAGGGTCTGGTGTTGCCAAAATCATATCAGGGGCTCGATAAATCCCTGAGTCCACTTCATCTTGGTGTTTTATACATGCACCATGTTCCATCTTTAGCAATTGTGAAGGAGCTGGTCTCTGGATGACTCCTGAAATGGCAGGGAAGGATGTTTTCAGTATTAATTGCTCAGCCCCAGTCCCAGGGGCTTCAGCATTAGCTTCCCTGCAGTGCACTTTATTAAAAACTGGAAGCACTGGTGAGTCAGCTGCAGAGTGCCTGTGCTGCTCCCCGAGACCCTGGCCTGGCAGCTCCATCCCAGGAACCCGAGCTCTGCTGAGACCTGAAGGCTGCTGGAAACACGTGGCTCATTCCCTGGGGTGTTGTGCTGAACTGATAAACCCTGCAGGGAAGGCAAATATCCCTGTGGCAAACTCAGCAACCTTGCACAGGAAACACTGATCATCCTCCCTTCCCCCAAAAGGAGGGGAGCAGATTCACTTTGAGCTTATCCCCCCTCCCTGCTCACAGCACTTTCTTGGGGTGTTGCTGATAGAAAGCAGGAAGAGAGAGGGATGCAGCACGTGTTGTGGGAAGACAGAGCAGTCCTGCATGGCTGTGCTGTGTGATTCCTAACTCCCCCAAGCCTCTGGGCCAGCAGGTCCCTCCTGCCCTCCCTCAGCAGACACTTAAATCTGAGTAGTAGATTATCATGTTCTGTAAAATCTGTTAGGGAGCAACAAGAACAGGGCTGCTCCACGATGAGATGTGAGCCAGGAGCCAAGGGCAACAGGCACAGGCAGTGCCCTCACCAGCCAGGGCACAGTCCTGCCAGTCCAAAATTGGGTGGGCAGAGCAGAACTGGTGATAACTGGGGATATTGACCATTCCAGGGAAGGCAGGGTGACAGTCACATCCAGGGTCTACCCAGGGAGTCCAGCTGGGAGCAGCATGAGGTGGGAGCAGAGGCAAGGCTGGAAACAAGGGCACAGCACATGCTCAGTGCCCAGGACATGGGTACAGTGAGCTCAGGCAAGGTGTGAGTGCCAGGCCTGGAGCAGAATGTGCTTGGGGGGATCCCAGACAGAGCTGACTGGGGCAACTGGGACTGGTGCCCTCAGAGTCCTGGGAAACTCCCTGCTGGCAGGTGGAGGCCACACGGAGCTCTCCTTGGAAACAAGCCCAGAACAGGCGGTTCTGTCCTAGGTGGTTTGATCTATCACCTCCATTTCTTCCCCCCAGGTGTGTTTTCCGGCCCAGCAGTTCCAGCGCTGTCCAGGGGAGGGCAGGGGTGGTCAGAGCCCTTATTTCACAGCTGGGTCTGAGGGCAGTGCAGTAGCAAACCCCGAGCTCAGTGGCCAGATAAGATCACAGCTGAGACACACACGGGAGCTCACAAGGCTGAAATATGGCCTGTCACCACTACAGCTCCTTAGTTCTCTGAAAAGTTAATGGTGTAAGTCAGGCATCCCATTGTGCCTGCAGACTGTGCCCCAGCCCGAGAAGTTCCAGTGCTTCTCTGTGTCTCTTCTTCTCTCACTAATCTTCTCCAGTGAGGATTCAGCCAGACACACTCAGTGTACATCAGAACCAGAACACCCTGTAAGACACCATACTTTTCCTCGAGCTGTTTCTACACTACAGACACTACAGAACCCAGCACTGCCTTTGAAGAGTTCTAGGAACGTTGTCTCCAAGTATTTAAAGGTGGATCTGAGCAGAGGCATTGCAGTCCAGGCTCTAATCCCAGAGAAACCCTTCTAGCACTGCCAATGTTGATGTTAAAAGCAAACTAGTCTGAGAAAATTCTTCCAAGTAATTTTAACTCCCTTTTGCAAACGCTCTCTGTGCCTGGCATGTGTCTGGGATAACATCCCTCTTGACTCTGTTCAAGCACAGATCTGTAGCTCCATTTTTGCTTGCTTTGGGATTTGGTTAAGAAGGAGTAATTTTTTTCCCTGCAGTTTAAAGCCTCATTTACCTCCCCTCATGGGCCATTTTAGCCACTCCAGTATATTTGAAGTGGTACAGTCCTCCCACCATGGGGACTGGTGGAGTGGGATATTATATAGGGGTGTGGCTCTTATGGAAACAAGCTGTGCCAGGAGGAGGCACCTGGTGCTGGTAAACCTGTGTCCACGGTATATTTGGAACCACCACTACTAGCCTGGCCTAAACTACTGCATTCTTCACCTCCCTGCTCCTCCTAAGGAGAACAAAAGGCCTTAAATCCAAAGTTATACTAAACCTATAGGCAAAGAATCATCACATAGGCAGTGCCATGAGTGAGAATCCAGTGCTCTTTACAGGTTGTATCCTAAAGGTCATTGCTCTGAAAGGTTTCCCCTTCACAGAAGTGCCTCTCTTTGAGCAGCCCTTGGTCTCCTCTCCCAGCAGACCACACTGCTCAGAATTTGTTTGAAACACTCCATGTTTTCCTGCAGCTCTGGCCCCTCAGCCTGTCTTTACTCAGCTGTCTCCTCAGTCTGTCCTCACATGAGTGCTGCTCATGGGAATTGAGGTTGGAACTTGTGACTTCCCAGGGAGCCAGAAGTGTTTCTGCAGGCTACAAGGGCTCAGTATGTTGGATGTTAGAGTTTTGGATGACTAATTCCTACAAAACACTGGCAAGCTTCCTTGTAAACAGCACTCCTGAACAGCAAGTTGCTGGAAGAATGGCTTTTAAAACTTGAGCCTGCCTGGTGCCCAGATGTTCACTGCCATTAGAGACCCTGGCAGCCAGTTTTCTAATACATCACATTCTAGCTCAGCTATTCTTATTCTGTCTGCCCAAATTCCCTTTGGAATTTCACCTCAGCATTTCTTTCCTCCCTGCTCTCAATTCTGTTGTGGAGGTGTGCTGCCCTGTTAAACTACTGCCACACTGAACTCAGAAAGCAGCAGCATTTCTGCAACATTCAGTGAGAAATGGGAAAGGAATTCATTTAACAAGGAAGGAGTGGGACAGGACACCTGCCCTGCCCTCTCTGCCCCAGTAAAGCTGGACACGTGCTTCCCATTTTTACAGCCGATGCACCATTTTAAGCAAAAGTTGTCTCAGGATTCCAACTTCTCTGCTGAAGCAGGGACAGTGGATGGGCTAAAGCCATGGATTTACAGCCATTCTGTAAGTGCAGGGGCTTTAGCTGCCAGTACTCCAAGGCTGAGGGAAAGGGCCTGTGTCTCATGGAAATGTTAGCACTGAGGCTGCAGGAATGCCTTTGTGAGCTGCTCGGTGCCTTCATGGATCAGAAGTGGGTCTCCAAAATGACAGATAACATGGAGGGTGAAAAAAAATGCCTCCCCCCCCTCCCAACTTCTTTGGCTAGGACTCTTGGAGCCACAGCCTAGGCATAAAGGAGCAAGAGGATTCACTCCTTTGGCCCTTACACTTGAGGCAGCACCATGGCCAGACCCTTCCTGCTGCCCTGGACAGAGCCACAGGTGCCCTTTGCCCTCCCCTGTTCCTGGCTCCCCTTTGGGCTGCAGCTCCTCACACACACGAGCAACTGCACAGCCAGGAGCAGTCACCAATGGCCACATTGTCTCTTGCCCCCTCTCTCTCTTGGCTCGAGGGTAATTTTTCCAGGGGAGCAGGTTCCTGCTTTGTTAGGAGGTGAGCCCAGACAGGCTGGCGCCAGCAGGGAGCAGGTTGCAATCTCTGCTGGGCTGTGAATGTGCTGCTTCTCCTCTGTCTGCTCTGCTGGCACTGGTGTGGCTTTGCCCTTCTTGTTGCAGAGTGAATCAGGCCTGTCTTGCATAATGTAACTGAATCTGGCCCGGTAACACTAACCCTGTCTTTGTCCACGTGCTTATCTCCTAACCAGGCATCAGCTCCCTCCAGAGATCCCAGCTCTATGCCACAGCTCCCAGTCAGCAGGGCTGTGCTTTGTCATGGTTTGCTACCTGTAAGATGACTGAAAAATTTCCATCTGCATCAGTGGCTCTCAGAGCTGTTTGCAGAGGTCATCCCCACCCACCTCACCGTGCTTGCACACCTCCAAGGGGTGCCCAGTAAATCCAGGGTACTGGATTTACTGCTGGGCACTGGTGCTGAGGCTGATGAGTGGAGGTCACACAAGTGTTCCTTGGCTTGTTCAACAAGCCACCACCAGGCTTTCTGTGCAGTGACCTTCCCAGATGCTGTGTACATGTGTCTGCACAGCCACATCCATAGTGTTCACACCTTCCTGGGAGCAGAGAGAAGGCTGAGGAGTGCTCAGGTCACGTGCTGCGATGAGTGTCACGTAGCACAGGCATTTTTCACATGCCTTGTAAGAGCAATGTGCGATGACAGTGCATTTACTTTACACGGTTTTATGGCAAGGACTTGCTAGCAGATAGTACCCACAGGACAGCAAATGTACCTTGAGCTGTTCCATGAACTCAAGCTAATCAGAATAATTATGAATCTTATGCTGGTTTTTCTCCCTGTGCCATGATGTAATTGCTGAGGTGCTGCTTGTGTGAGTTGCAGTGGCAGAGCACAAGGTGTCCTGGAGGAGCCTCTGCCTTCCACTGGCCTCTCCTGGCAGGTTATTGCTGCTCTCAAATGAGACCATTTGTAGTTGTCTAAGCTCCCTGGAAAAAAGCCCCGTTTTACACTGAGAAGAACTTGCTGTCTGCACATTATCAACTTCATTTTCTGCCCTTCCCACCTCCTCAGGTAATGACCACAGATCCTGACCATTTCCTAAATTGCTGGGGAGTGATTTTCCCCACTCTAAGATCTTGCTGCCAGTAACCTTGCTCAGGCAAGGTTTTACCAGTCTTTTACCAGTTCTGCGTTAAAGTCCATTTCCCACTGGAGTAATCACTCCCTTCAGTTCCTTCTCCCACATGTGGGCCATTGTGAAAATATCCCAGTGCATCATCTCAGTTTATCCCAGGTTAGCAGCATGTCAGACAGTCTGGCTTCCTTGCTGGAAAGAGTACATGGAATCTGGAAGAACTGTGGCCAAAGTAGGTAATGTCAGATGACTAAATCCGTGCTTATTTTTCCAAGTGGAGCGTGCCCAGCTGCTCCAAGCCACCACAGAATTAAACTGCCCGTTTAACATATGGAGGTGCTTTAAACATGGATTTTGGGGTGTAACATTGGGTGTGCTTTTCCGAGCCGTGTCCGTGTCTGGAGCGCCGTGTCCCGGTGCTGAGCTGTGCCTGTGTGTGTCTCCACAGAACGACTCCTGGGGGAAGCAGTATTCCTACGCCCTGTTCAAGGCCATGAGCCACATGCTGTGCATCGGCTACGGGCAGCAGGCGCCCGTGGGCATGTCGGACGTGTGGCTCACCATGCTCAGCATGATCGTGGGGGCCACCTGCTACGCCATGTTCATCGGCCACGCCACCGCCCTCATCCAGTCCCTGGACTCCTCCCGCCGCCAGTACCAGGAGAAGGTAAGGACTGGGCTTGGCAGCCCTCCTGCAGCCCCACGGGGCTTTCTGTGCTCTCAGTGACCCCGAGGTGCGGTTCCCTGGTAATTCATCCCAATCCATTCACTCCAACAGACCCTCTGGAAGAAACAGATGCAAGATCAGATGAATAATAGTAATGCTAGTGGGTGATTTTTGTTGCCTCTGCTTGTCTTTTTAGATCGACGTTATCAATGTCACTGCTATCTGAAATCCTAAGTCGCTTTTTCCTTTCTGAGATCTTGTTTCAAACCCCAAGTGAATGTTCCAGAATGTGCAGCTTTTGTTTAGCAAGTACTCTGTTAAAAGTATCCAGATTATTCACTTCAGTGCTCATGAGTGAAGGTACAGAACAAACCCCAAAGCCCAGATCAAAGCTGGGAGCTCGGAGCAGGTTCCCTGGGTAGCTGTGGAATTAATTGCACCGTTGTTGAACAGCACAATGGAGGGCACAGCCAGAAATGTCACAGCTGATCAGGCTCCCACTGCCACAGCAGCCATGGATGGTGCTGGGTTTAAGGTGATGCTGTAAATCTGTGAGATGGTCAGGGCATCCAAAAAAAAAGCACCTTCCCTCAGTTAGTGGGGCCGGGGAAGCCATAGGTGAGAAGCTCTTATGGTCAGGGTCCTAGGGATACATTTGATCTGGAAACTAAGAGGAACTGGTCCTATTCTGACCTTGCCAGGTGCAGGCAGAGTAAGTGGAAAGGGGAGCTGTGATTCAAGTGAGGAAATTATGGTGAGCATGCACAGTCCAGGTGAATTTTATGTTGAGGGAGGAGGTGGGATGGCCTAGGAACAGGTTTCAGACATGAGGATTACAATGCTGGACCATGGAAAGAGAGCAGGGCAGAGAGGGAGAGCAAAGATGGTCAGAGGCTGACTCATTCTTTGAGGATAGGGAAGATCCCAAACCACAACTGGAGCTGAAAGAGAGAGAAAGCCCAGGAGAAGAGCATGGAGGGCCGGGATGCATCCAGAGCACTGGGCTTTGTGTAGAGTTTTACCTCTGTGTTACAGCTCAGACTAATTCTAATGGACAGCAAGGCATGCCAAAGAGAAGGACACTGCAGCACCAGGAACACAAGCTGATCAAATCTCTGGATGCAGAGTATTTATTCAAATGTGTTTGAAGTAGCATAGCAGTCAAGGACTGATTTGCAAATCCAACCACCTGGCCAGCCTAGAGCAGCCAAGGTTACACCTGCAGCACTGGGCACTACGGGCTTTGTCTCAAGCCAGGCCTGAAGACAAGGGCAGACACTGACCCTGGAAGTTGGATTCCAGTCAGTGCTCAGGGAAACCAGTCACCAGGAAGCCAGCAGGGACTGCAGTGGGGGTGGCAGGAAAATGTGAAATTTTAGAGCCTTATTAGAATGTGGAGACATGAATGGCAGGGTTAATGGATACAGGGGAAGAGCTTTGTGACAAAAGCAGCAGATAGAGGATTTCACAAAGGGTGTATTTCATGTGTAGTGGTTTTAGCAGGTTCATTTCCCAAGTTTTTCTCCTGGGATCGATGCCTCAGGGATTGAATACGTTAATTTTCCTCTTGCAAATGGGACAAATGATGGCCTAAAAACAAATATGTATTTACTTTCTGCATTCCTTAGTACTTGAATAGCCATGATTAAAATGAGGCTGCTCCGTGATTTGCAGCCCTGAAACTCAATTTAGTTCAGTCCTCATGGGACAAAGTGTCTGGTGAAGCATATTATAGAGAGAATCTCAACAAGTTTGGAGGTCGATTGGTAGAAGCAGCAATTGAGAGACCTCTTCTGAGGGCACCTGTGGGCTCTGCCTCTCTCCTCAGCACAGCTCAGCCTACAGGGACTTTGGGAGCTCTTCTGGGAATAGCCAGAAAAAGGGGAGGCAGTGGGGAGGGAGGGGAACAGCAGGAACATCAAACAGGACAGGAGGTTGTAGCTGCTGTCCTGAAGAGGTTTTGCTTGGTGTAACCCTCAGGACAAGGTTCAGGAGCGGGTTTTTGGTGAGGTTTCAGGTTGTCTAGACCTCTGCCAAACCAACTTGTTCTTCCCTTGTACAAACATGGCTTTTGAGAAGAGGAATAAATGCCAAGCCATGCTGTCTGTTGGCTTCAGGAGCAGGGCTTGCCTCCCTCTGCCTTGGATTCACTGAACATTTGGACATTCAATCCCTGTCCTGTCTAAATCCGGTCCTGTAGCATCTCATTTTCTGCTGTGCTGGTTTCTGCAAGGCAGGGAAGCTGGATGGGATGGATAGGGTGGTAGGAACCATGGAGAATTTGGAGAGGGATATTACACCTTCCAGGCCAGTGCAGTGCTGAGGTTCTTGAGTACAAGTGGGGAGTCCCCTGTGGCACAGTCACACCACCGTGGGCACTGCAAGGGGCACAGCCACCGTGCAGGTCTGGCCCTGGCCTCCCTTGAAAAGCTCTGGCTCAGAACAGCTCTCTAGATCTGGCACTCTGATGTGACTGTTTGATTTCCACTCCCAGAGGCAAAGGTAAAAGGGACCTGTCTGTCACATCTTGCATTGCATAGATATTATGGTCACAGAGAGAGTCAGTGGCAGGATCAGCAGCTGACTCTTATCTCTTAACCTCAGCCTGGTGTTATATCTTTGCACTATCTTTGCATCCAAGACTGGTGTCTGTTTGCTGCATGTGAGACAATGCCCCTACAGGTCTATCCTGAGGGATTCTGATAGAAACATTTCCCAAAGTCGTGTTGTGCAGTTCCGTGTTCTGAGTCAACTTGACAGCTTTGACCCAGGGGGGGAAGCCCCACATACTCGATCTCACCCAGTGCTCCCTGCCACTGTTCTCAGCTCTGCTTTTCTTACTTCATACTGCTCAGACCTTCACTCACATCTAAGCTCATCACTGACTGCAGAAGTACCCCACAGCCTGCAGTAACTGTGGCTCACGTGAGAGGAAGAGTGTTTCCTCCCCAGGAGAGGAATAAACTAGATGGATATGCAAGTTATTTTCGTGCTTTTTGCAGGTTCTCCTATTAATTTCTTTCCCTAATCCTAGAGCTCAGCTGGATTAGTATTTCTGTCAAGTCACCACACTCACACACACACACACACACACACACTCATCCTCCCCAGCAGACTCAGTAACCTTGAGGCTTTGGGGAGGGTGACTGTGCTGTTTTCTGCAGCCATGCTCCTTGGAACAGAGCAGAGACACTCCAGGCTCCTCTCCCCCATCCCAGCAGGATGCAGGCAGTGATGGGCATTGTGCAGGGAGGCTTGGCTCTCTGTGTCATCTCCCCAGGTGCACACAGAGGATTGACTGAGGAGAGGTGGGAATTGCTGCTGTCAGCGTTGCAGAGCCCAGCAAAGCTGTAATCTCTCCTTCCAGAGCCTCATCTCTCCTCAGGATCTGTGCTACACTGGCACTCTCTCCAGCTCTCTGCTCTCCACATTCATTGCCCCGCTCCTCCTCCTCCCTGAGCAGTCTATCCAGGGCCTCTTGTTCTTAAAATATATCTGAGCAGGTCCTTGCATATTCACTTGTCATTATTCTGAAGAAGCACGTGCTGCAGCACAGTTGCAAGGGGACAAGCAGGTAACACTGAAGAGAGAGTCACTTTATAAACCCTGCAGAGCACTGGTGACATCACCTCTCAGTTCCTGACACAGCCCTGCCCAACCATCAGCACAGCCTTGCTTCCCACAGTTCATCCCATGGTCTGGCTGTCCAAGCAATTTATTGTCTAACTATCAGCATTTAAGCCTGACTTCAACAAAGAGTAATTGGGGAAAATTTAGTCATTTTAAAGGCTGAAGTATAACAACTGGAATGTTCCATCTCTGTTAGAGATGTTGGACCAGTATTTGTTGGAGGGGAATTCAGACACTGCTCTTGTGCTGCGATGAGAGCTGAGAATCTGTCTAGGCTCAGGTCCCTGCTCTTTCTTGGAGACCAGCAGCAGAGAGTCTTATTGGGCAGCAGGTTTAAGGAGTTATTTGGGCTATTTTATGGTCTGTAATGAAACTGTGGAACTCACAGCTGCGAGGTGCTGTGGAGGTCTGAGGTTTGATTAGCCTCAGAATATTTAGACAAATTCATGTGAGGAAAACCTTTCAAGTGCTGCTGATTGCTGAGGTGCAGATCCAGCCCCTGGCAGTGGGCATCCCTAATGTGCTTTTGTCAGAAAATTCAGAAGGGTGTGGGTGGGAGCTGGAGTGCTCTGTGCCTCTGTTGTTCCTTCTCCTCTTCCTCTTCCTCACTGAATCTGTGTCTGGACACACAACACCAGGTAAAAGGAGCCCTCAGGCTGCCCCTTCACAGCTGCCTTGGTGCTTTAGGCTGGTTTACTGTGCAGTTTGGTGTTCTGAGCTGCCTCCAATGGTGTGTGCAGGCAATTGGGTGCAGAGATCCGAGCTGGGGTCCTGGATGCAGGATAATCACATTAGCCTGGCAACTTGCCCTTGCTGATTAGTCTCCCCCTCCACTCCCCCTCAAGCCGAGCTAATTAACCTGAGCACAGCCCTGTACTGGAGCTGCATTAATTCTCGTGGCTCCAGGGCTGGCTTAGCCAGGGCTGCCTGGGGGACAGCAGGGCACAGATACACTGAGGTAACTCGTGTCAGCTGCTCTGAGCCCGGAGTTGGGCACAGACTGCCGGAATTCCCACACCTGCTCTGCCACAAAGCTGGCGGTGGGAAACTTCATTACCAGTCTGGGCAGGATTTGAAGTGACATTCCCAAGTGCCTGTAGGTTCTCAGGTGGCATTCCCACATTCCTAGAGTTCAAAGGGGTTCTGTAGAAGTCCCCTCCTGAGGGAACATCCGTTCCGATGCCAGGAAAGCTGCAAAGCTCCCGTACTCCTTTGGTAATGTGTATGAAGGAGAGGGTACAGAGTGTGCAGCACTTCAGAAATTAAAGGTGTTTGGAAAACTTAATCAAATGCAGAATGTAATCAGATTTCCTAATTGGAAAAAGTTTGGAGAGCTTTGCTTCATCCTGTCCTGTCTGCACTGGTTGTGT